TAATATATATGTTATACAATATGTATATATATCATACAATAGAGGGATATCAGCTCAAGCAATATGTGATAAGTAGTCAATCGAAACTGTTGAGACAGTATCATAGACAGATCTGTGGTGTGATATGATTGTACAGTGCCTAGGCCAATATTGATAACCGATTTTAGTATAAATATCAGACTAATCACTCGTCTAGAATTAGTCGAAATTTAGTAGACACCAATTGAAAATATGCTGAAATCAATCACAGTCCTTGCTGTGGTCCTGGCCGTGGCCAGCGCCGAGCTCCACCGTGTGCCCATTCTCAAGCACGAGAACTTCGTGAAGACCCGTGAGAATGTCAAGGCCGAGAAGGCCTACCTGCGCGCCAAATACAATCTGCCCAATGCTCGCCTTAACGAGGAGGAGCTCTCCAACTCGATCAACATGGCCTACTACGGCGCCATCACCATCGGTACTCCCCCACAGAGCTTCAAGGTTCTGTTCGATTCGGGCTCCTCCAACCTGTGGGTGCCATCGAGCACTTGCTGGTTCCTTGATTTGGCCTGCATGAATCACAACCAGTACGATCACGACAAGTCCTCCACCTACGAGGCGAACGGCGAGAGCTTCTCCATCCAATACGGCTCTGGCAGCCTCTCCGGCTTCCTGTCCACCGATACTGTTGATGTCAATGGCCTGGTGATCAAGAAGCAGACCTTTGCCGAGGCCACCTCTGAGCCAGGCAACAGCTTCACCAACGCCAAGTTCGATGGTATTTTGGGCATGGCCTACCAATCCCTCGCCGTGGACAATGTTGTGCCACCCTTCTATAACATGGTCTCTCAGGGTCTGGTTGACGATTCCGTCTTCTCGTTCTATCTGGCTCGCGATGGTACCTCCAACGAGGGCGGTGAGCTGATCTTTGGTGGCTCCGACTCCTCTCTGTACACCGGTGAGCTGACCTACGTGCCCATCTCCCAGCAGGGCTACTGGCAATTCGCTGTGGACAGCATTTCCATTGATGGCCAGACCTTGTGCGACAACTGCCAGGCTATTGCTGATACTGGCACCTCTCTCCTGGTTGTGTCTGAAGATGCCTACGACATTCTGAACAATCTGCTCAACGTTGATGATGAGGGTCTTGTCGATTGCTCCGCTGTCGATTCGATGCCCGTGCTCAACCTCAACATTGGTGGCACCAAGTTCACCCTGGAGCCAGCTCAATATATCATCCAGTCCGATGGCGAGTGCCAGTCAGGCTTCGAGTACATGGGCACCGACTTCTGGATCTTGGGCGATGTCTTCATTGGCAAGTACTACACCGAGTTCGATTTGGGCAACAACCGCATTGGCTTCGCTCCAGTTGCCTAAGTATTGAAATAAACGAATCCCTAAATGCAAAATAACATGTGGAATTTTTTTTTGACCTGATTTCGTAAATAGAAAAAACAAATGTACAAAATTTTACTGTCTCTAAATATGTATTATAAATATGGCAAAATTATATTAGATGTGATTGAAAACAACTTGAAATTCTATTTTTATTTCTATAATAATACTGCGTTTTATATTTTGTAAGATAAGAGTGCTCTGAATGGAGCTATAGAAACGAAGACCCCTTGTTTGTATTTAGTCTGGGAATGTCTTTAAACAGTTCATGAAAGCAGTTGTTTATGTAAGATTTGAGATTGAACAATATTTGAATCTTTTGAGTAGACGAACTTAAATGTGTAGAATGACATATACAGTAAAATGGTTTCAATTGAGCGTAAAATGTCTATAAAACTGTACTAGAAACATTCCCTTAGAACGTAGCATAAAAAAATACTTACATAACTTTAGGGCGATAGTTTTCTGAATTTAATTGGAATTTGTTACTAAATCTAGCCAACAGAACTGATTCTTTTCAGAAAGGTAAAGATCTGGATAGAATTGGAGCTCGCGACTTTTTTTTGTCGAGTTGTCCAGTAAAAGTCAATAATATCATAATTTTACGGCATATATCTCTCCTCGCTCTCTTGCACTTCTACAAATCTTGGCTGGATAAGCATTATTTGAACTTTGTATTTAGGAATCATTCGTATAGAAGTGATTGGATAAGCTTGAAAGAGGGCTTCGGGGACGATGCCAAAAATATGTTATTTTAGACTATGAATTCTTCAGCAGAACTATTATATGTATTAGTATTATTCTTTCTTACAGGCGAGTCTCGATAATTTGTATTCTAAATCGAAAATCGCTTTAAATTAAAAAAAAAATCTATTCCTTTGAAAGAAATTTGTTCTCAATATTTCTGATGAATCCTTTTGCCATTTGGAATTATCGGGATACTACTGTATTTTTATTTTCATTCAAATATTTCCATGCTGAAATATTATTCTATAAGTTTTGATCAATTCATGACAAGAACTTATGGAACTTATTTTTTGTTTATTATGATAGCAAATTGTAATAATGTATAAATATCTATATATTTTTAGATTTAACTACATTTATATTTTTATACACATACATATTTATACATATTTATTTTTGCCATATTATTAGTTTGGCTGACAATATTATTCTTGACACGTTAAATCAGAACAGGCGATCAATAATGTGAAGAATCAGATTAGACTGCCTATAAAATCTAAATGCTGAGTTTGACACGTTATACTAGAGCTATTTGTAGTAGCCCATAGACGTGTGTAGGCTCAAGTGCTACGGAGTTTTTATCATTCGAGTGTTAGAAAGACCCTGCGATAATGCTGAGACCTTTAACTAATGCCCTCTTAAAACAAATATATATTTATTTTCTGATACACAGCTGCAGAAGCTATCGACTGTCATTTGTTGAGTGAGCAATCTGGTAGATAGTGAGGGCAATCGATTTTATTAAATTTTTTTGATTGTTCGTATTTGCAATTCATCAGCTTAAAGATATTAACAATCTTATCGTGGGATAGATAGTAAATTCGTTTTGGTATAAATACCAGACTAAGCACCCGTCTAGAATTAGTCGAAATTTAGTAGACATCAATTGAAAATATGCTGAAATCAATCACAGTCCTTGCTGTGGTCCTGGCCGTGGCCAGCGCCGAGCTCCACCGTGTGCCCGTTCTCAAGCAGGAGAACTTCGTGAAGACACGAGGCAACATCAAGGCTGAGCTCTCTCACCTGCGTGCCAAGTATGGCCTGCCAGTGGGTCGCGCTGTCGAGGAGGAGCTCTCCAACTCGATGAACATGGCCTACTATGGTGCCATCACCATCGGTACTCCTCCACAGAGCTTCAAGGTACTGTTCGATTCGGGCTCCTCCAACCTGTGGGTGCCATCCAACAACTGCCCCAGCTATGCCTGCAAGGTGCACAACCAGTATGACTCCAGCGCCTCCTCCACCTACGAAGCGAACGGCGAGAGCTTCTCCATCCAATACGGCACTGGCAGCCTCTCTGGCTTCCTGTCCACCGATACTGTTGATGTGAATGGACTGTCCATCAAGAAGCAGACCTTTGCTGAGGCCACCAACGAGCCAGGCACCAACTTCAACGACGCCAACTTCGATGGTATTTTGGGCATGGGCTATCAGTCCATTTCTCAGGACAATGTTGTGCCACCCTTCTACAACATGGTCTCTCAGGATCTGGTTGATCAGTCTGTGTTCTCTTTCTATCTGGCTCGCGATGGCACCTCCACCCAGGGCGGTGAGCTGATCTTTGGCGGCTCTGACTCCTCTCTGTACAGCGGCGACTTCACCTATGTGCCCATCTCCCAGGAGGGCTATTGGCAATTCACCATGGCCGGTGCCTCCGTTGAGGGCTACTCCTTGTGCGACAGCTGCCAGGCTATCGCCGATACTGGTACCTCTCTGCTTGTGGCTCCAGCCAACGCCTACGAGCTGCTGAATGAAATCCTCAATGTCAATGATGAGGGTCTTGTCGATTGCTCCACCGTCAGCTCATTGCCCGTGATCACCTTCAACATTGGTGGCACTAACTTCGACCTGAGCCCCTCGGCCTACATCATCCAATCCGACGGCGAGTGCATGTCGAGCTTCCAGTACATGGGCACCGACTTCTGGATCTTGGGCGATGTCTTCATTGGACAATACTACACCGAGTTCGATTTGGGCAACAACCGCATTGGCTTCGCCCCAGTCGCTTAAACAGTAAACGAACCTTCCGTGAAAGCAAATAAAGTGATATCATAGAGCATTATATTCACTTAGTCTTGACTAACGTGTATCTATAATATTTTGTAATATCAACTTGTTTGTTTCTCTTTTTTTTTTCGTTTAAATTATAAAAAATAATGTTGCTATAATCTGTATTTCTTATTGCTGTTCGTGAATCAAGCAAGCTTATTTTGTATAGATAATTTTCTATCTATGAAAAAATAACTTGATCTATACAATTTTGGAGTTTACCAAACCAGCTAGCTTTTAATATTGGCTTTGGTATCTAATTTTGAAGGCCTATTGGTATCAAATTTTGTTATTTTGGCCATACGACTCAACCTTTTCAAAGCCCATCAAATTTCCCATTGCAATAAGTTATTTGTGATCGGAAATAAATTATTAATTGAGCATTAGATGAAAAACTGCATAAAACTTGGATGGCTTTCGTGCCTAATGATTTCCCCTTGGTAACTTCTGTAATGTTTTCATTTTTAAGACTGCTGACTAAGCTCACCCTGCAGTGTCTTGTGCTTCTAGTGCCACGTCATCAATGATGACAAACACAGTTTGAGTTGACCATTCGCAGTGCTGTTGTCTAAATCCTTTGCTACTAGATATGAGAGATACTCCGTATTGTGAGCGGCCCAGATGAAGGGTATATTAGTGTTGCGCTTGTGTATGCAAATGAAAATAAGATTTTTAAATTTATATGAGCAATCACTAGTTTAGTTATTTAATCAATGAGTATATAGTATATTGTTCAGTCGGATAAAAACTTATACGATCCTGTAGACAGTCCAGTATTCAATCAGTCAATCAATCCTGCCTAAAGATCATCGATGAATAATTAAATAATTGCTCATTCAAACTTTACATCCATCAATCAGTCAATTTTAAGCCAAAATATGAATTACTCAGTCGATGTATCAATCAGTTAGTCTTAAGAGAATCAGTCAATTGATCGGATTGTCAGTCATCAATCAATCAATCAACCTCATACATCAATCGTCCTCATCCATCAATCATTAATTTATCAATCATCAATTATCGATCATCAATCAATCAATCAGCAATCAAGCATCAATCAAGCATCAATTATCGATCAATCATCAATCAATTATCAATCAATTATTCATTTACAGCTTCAACAAAAATTCAGTTACTATGTCCTGTGCCTGTGAATCAACCAATTAATCAGTCACTCAATCGAAATACAATCACATAGACAGTTAGCTATCAAATCAGCAGCTCAATCACACATAAATTTGCATTACTATGTTCATAAATGAAGTTTATAGTATGTAGCTTCTTATATCCACTCATAGCCTATGCACACGGTATCTATGCGAGTCACTTGTTTTAATGCTCTCTCACTCTCTCCCTCTCTCTCGCTCTCTGAGTTAATTTTTGGGGGACTTTGTTAGGGCGCTTAAAATGCCATCAATGAGTTTCTCTTTTAAGTTTTTTCGATATAGGCAATCTTATCTATGTCACAGATTTTCAGCGATTTGATTGATTTGCCCGGTGCGATAAGCAAACAAGCGCCGGTCATATAAAAGTGCGTGGTATCTGGCATTCCAACTTTAGTATAGCAAATAAACACGTAATTGGAACAGCATGTTGAAGCTAATGCTACTGCTGTACGCCCTGGTGCTGGCGCAAGCCGGTGCCCACCTGCATCGTGTGCCCATCTATAGGCAAAAGAATTTCGTCAAGACAAAAGACAACATCAGGGCCGAGGTGGCGTTTGTGCGTGCCAAATACGGTGCAGTGTCAGCAATTTCCACGGCAGCAGCCAACTCTACGACGAACACGACCAAGGAGCAGCTAGTGAACGACGTGAATATGGAGTATTATGGCATTATAACAATTGGAACACCACCGCAGACCTTCAATGTGCTATTCGATACGGGCTCATCGAATCTGTGGGTGCCGTCGATTCAATGCGCGAGCGCATCTTGCCAGGATCACATGAGCTTCAATCCGACATTGTCGACCACCTATACGTATACGAACGAGATGATAACATTGAAATACGGTACAGGTGGCATGTCGGGCTTTCTGGGAATCGATGTGATCAATGTGAGTGGCTTGGTGGTAGCGAATCAAACATTTGGCCTAGCCACCACTGAACAGAATAATACATTTGTGAGCGACGGCTTCGATGGCATTTTGGGCATGGGCTATGCGAGTTTGGCCGTCAATAATGTGGTGCCGCCGTTTTACAATATGTTGGCACAGGGTCTGATCGCAAATCCCGTATTCTCGTTCTATTTGGCAAGGAACGGCACCTCACAGCAGGGCGGTGAATTGATACTTGGTGGATCGGATCCATCGCTATATAAAGGCAGCATGACCTATGCGGATATTACGGAACAGAATTACTGGCAATTCAATATGGACAGTGCGATATTAAATGGTCAAGTTTTGTGCACCAATTGCGCGGCTATTGCCGATACGGGCACCTCACTATTAGTGGCACCCATGGATATCTACAATAAGATTAAAGTTGTGCTGGGAGTCAGTTCGGATGACACTATTGATTGCTCAAACACATCGAATATGCCAACTTTTCTGTTTACCATTGGTGGAAAGGTATTCGGTGTGCCCAACTCGGCGTATATCATTACAACGGATATTGGCTGCATACTGGGCGTTAGTGGCATGGAACAACAGTTTTGGATACTTGGCGATGTCTTTCTGGGGCAGTATTATTCGGAATTTGATTTGGGCAAAAATCGCATTGGATTCGCTTCAGTCAGTGGAATGAACTATACTACGGGCGGTGGGGCGTCGAACCTGAAGCAGTTGCGTCTCCTCGAATTTGCTGCATTGTTGGCTGTGCTCTGGAAGGTCCTGGACTACATCAACTAAGAGAGTATTACGTATCTAATTATTCAGTTTTTTTTTTTTTTGTTTTGTTAAATTATTATCATAAATCTCTGTACTGATCTAATATGCAGTAATATCGATCTGAAATAAAGTATGTTTATATGCTAAGCAATTAAAATGAACGATTTAGATGGAGCTTAACAGGCAAAGAGGTCTATGAGAAGATGAACCCTAAGATCTGAGATCAATTGATCTTTACTTAAAATCTTGTGATGAATTATGAGATACAAAAGTCGTTCAAAGAACTGAAAGTTTAGTCTGTAAATAATATAATATTTTTTGAGTAATATCTAGAGCTACTTTTGTGGCTTGAGTTATTGACTTAAATATCATTTTTTTTATTGGCTTATAATATTTTGCACAGCAATTGGGATGATCCGCTCTTAAATCGTCAGCTGATTGAGTTGCATCTGGAAACGGGAACCGTTGCACACGAATGAAGAAGAGCGAAAAAACTGAAGCCAGAACAAATTGAGGACTGCAGATTCTTTTCATCTTCTTGTGGCGCTTAATTGGGCCGCCGTTGAGCGTGATTTATTGTAAAAAAAAGAAGAGCGAAGTAAGAGATGAATTTTTGCAGTTGCTGAACTTCGAAATGTACGCATTATTTATGTGTTGTTATTTGGATACCCTGTATTGCCAATTGGCAACGGTTCAATGGCTCGCTAAGACACATACATAATGGCAAACAGATAGAAAATAGATTCTAGACAAATAAATGTATAGACAATATAGATATAACATAAATAAATTTCAGCCAATCATGTGTAGTTCCATTTTAAGATTTCCATAACAATGTCGAGCAATCTAAATATTTTTTGCAATTATTTTTAAGATTATAAAAGCTTGAACTAACAGATATGTTAAACGTTTCAGCATATTGCAGCCTAGGCCATTGCATACAGGGTATCTTCTAGTCGCGCACTTTGCGCATTTTAGCTCACTTTTTACTGTTGTCAGGGATTAGGAACTACACTCGCAGCTCCCACACAGAACAAAAAATGCAATATATATACACATACATATATATATATATATATCTTATGGATCGAAAAACTTTGTTGGTGGGCCAAAGAACAAAGGAGCAAAACTTTAATGAGCGTTGGGGGTTTTAATAAGTGCAATTGCCGGGCTGGTTAGCTGGCTGGATGTGCTCGGTCAGCTTGTTGGAAATTTATTGGCCAAGCAATTGCACAGTTCGAAGCTCATCAAATAGCAATAAAATATCATTTGTTGTAATTTGAGGGGACCACCAGGCGGCCCTATATCTTTCGAGCTTTAGCTGAAGATCGGGCTGAGCTCAGTTGCGTGGATCTGAGATTATGATCTGTCGCTCTTACCCTCGCTCTCTCTCTCTCTCACCTTGACGTTGTCTCTTTCTTGGAGCAATCTGTCTCATTAGAGTTGCCAGAGTGCTTGATTTATTGTTGTTAGGCACAGTTGTTGTTGTAGCTGTTGTCGATAAATCACATTAAAATATTTGCTAAAAGCGAAAAAGTTAAGTGGAGAAGAAGAGCTGAGCCAGACACCGATTGGCTGGTTCTTTTGGTCTTGACAAATCTCTAAGCGAAATCAGTTAACAACTTAACTAATGATTATCAATGTGTGCTTAAGCAACAACAACAACARGAACAACAACAGCAGGACAACAGCCAGCAACAACAGAAACATCCAAGAACAACATTTTCGATAAGCGAATGCAACAACTTTTTGCCGCAGACCACAACAGATCTGCAGCAATCAAACAAAGATATAAATACACATACATACAAGGATATAAACACACACACACACACACGTGCAGCAAATGAAAACATCTTTGATAACGGCTTTGTCGCTTTGGTTGATCTGCAAATTGTGCGTATTTGCATAGTTCGTTAGTTCTTGGGCTAAGCAATACCCATTGGCAAAAATGTTAGTATATGTGAATATTAATGTGCCTACTCTAGCTGGAAATAGTAGTTAGCAAAGATGTAAGATATTAAAATAGTAGTAGTATAGTAGTGAAGTAGTAATAGTTTTGTATTATAAAAGAGCAGTTAGCAGTATTATAAAAGAGCAGTAGCTGAAATAAAGTGAAGGTATTAGAGTAATATAACAATATAACAGTACGATATTATATGCCATTATAATATTAGTATAACTTCTAT